AAGTTCTCACTAGTTGCTCAGAGCCTCGCTAAATTGTTGAGGCTGGCTTTGAACTTGCTATCTCCTGCCTCAGCCTCTGAAATCACTGGGATTACAGGCATGTGTCACCAGGCCCAGTTCATTACTGTTATTTTAAAATAAAGCAATCCATATTTTAAAAATTAATTTTGATTTCTAGTATGCTAAATATTGCTGATATAACCCACAGAAACAAAGCCCTCATTATTTTTTGGTTATTATTTATTTATTTATTTTGCTGGATTGAACCCAGGGCTTCACATAATCTAAGCCAGCACTTGACCCCTGAGCTACACCTTCATCTCTACCTCTGTTGGTTGGTTTGTTTATTTATTTATTTATTTATTTTTGTACCAGGGATTGAACCCAGGGTCACTTAACCACTGAGCCACATCTGCAGCCCATTTTATTTATAGACAGGATCTTGCTGGGTTGCTGAGTCTGGTTGCTTCCTGTCTCACCTCCTGAGATGCTGGGATTACAGGTGTGGGCCACCACCCTGTTGGTTTTTAAGAGTGTTAGGGAGACTTCTGACCAAGTCTGTTCTTTGACAAGTGGTCATTCCTAGTGATAGTTCTTCAATTTTTTTTTTCTTTCTCTGCATCTTGTATATCACCAGTGACAATTTCACTGGAACAGGTTACAAAACCCATTTCCCTCAGCTCTGGGATCAGGGACACTCTTGGTGGGCGGTGGTAGCAGCTTACTTGGGCAGGCCGACTGTTGAGGGCGGGACTAGGCATCAACCTGCTTTGTGCCTATAAGAGCCCAGCTTATGTTTTCTGACTTGGAAAAGGACAGAGCTGAGAGCCTTTGTAGTAGAATAAAAGTGCTCCACGGATAGCAGTTGGCCAGATGCTGCATAAAAGGAAATGATAGTCAAGACAAATATTCAAAACCAAAATGTCCCCCAAAAGCTCATGTGTGAGACAATGCAGAAATGTTCTGAGGTGAATAATTAGATTACAAGAATTATAACCTAATCAGTGGATTGATCCACTGATATGGACTAAACTGTAGGCAGGCAGGCTGTGGCTGGAGGAAGCAGGTCACTGGGGCTGTGCTTGGGATCTACATTTTGTCCTTGGTGACCGAGTCTCTGCCTCCTGATGGCTGCCTTCCTCTCTATGGCCGTCCACCATGACGTCCTGCCTCATTTGGGGCCAGAGCTACGGAGTCAGCTGCCCATGGACTCAACCTCTGAAGCTGTCAGCCAAAATAAACTTTTCCTTAAAACAAACAAACAAACAAATAAACAACTATAACAAAAAGCTTTTTCTCTTCTAAGTAGTTCTTATCAGGTCTTTTGATCAGAGCCACCCAAAACTGACTAAAAGGGTGGGCTTCCAGTTTTAGTGTGTGTTAAGAATTGGCTGATAAACTTATCCAAACAGCAGATTTATTGGTCCCACTCAGTAAGTTTCCAATCCTCTTGGTTTTAAGTAGGACCCCAAATCTGCATTTAAAATTATTTTGGATACAAGTTTTAAGTTAAAAAGACATTATGTGCATAAGGAAAAAGACCTACCCAGCCTCCAAATTTTCTTTCCTAGAGCCAACCACTACTAGTTTTCTTGTCCCCTCCATCAAGAAATGTTCTGTTCTACACGTATATAAGCCTATGTGTGTATGAGTGATCTTTTTGTTGCTAATAAAACCATAATTGGAGCTGGATGGGGTGGCACAGGCCTATAAATCCATCAACTCAGGAAGCTGAGACAGGAGGATTACAAGTTTGAGGCCAGCCTCAATGACTTAGTGAGAACTTCTCAAAATAAAATATAAGAAGGCTGGGGATATAGTTCAGTGGCAGAGCACCCCTGGGTTCAATCCCTAGTTGGATTTGGAATTGGAAACATACTAAACATATTGCTCAGGCTGTCTCTGTATCTAAAATCCTAATCCCAATGAATGAGGAGAGAGAGTAGTTTTTATGAGGGCATTTTTACCTATTATTTAATAAGCTGTAAACACCATCTTCCTTAAACATATGTAGTCCTTATGATTATGAGTCCCTGGGTTCAACCCCTAGTACTGCAAAATAAACCAACAAATAAATAAAACCAAAAGGCATATTGCTCTATTTTGCTTTTTTTTAAATTTTATTTTAGCAAGGATATCTTGAAGACTGCTTCCCAATTCCATATATAGACTGGTCTTTTTTTTTTTTCAAATAATTGCAAAATTTTACTAAGCACTATATTTTGTTTCCTATTGGGAACATGTAAATTGTTTCCAATTTTTTATTTAAAAGAAATAAGACAAAATATCTTCATTCATGTCTGTTCATACGTAAGAGATAAAAACTTCAGAAATGCAATAGCTGTGTTTTAAGTTTACCATTTGAACAAAGATACTTTTTAATAAAGTCTTTGCATGAACATATGTTTTTATTCTTTCAAATTTGCTAGAACCTGCTTAACATGATCTATTTTACTTATTTTTCTGTTTTTTTTTAAAGTTAGATTTAATTTTTTAAACTTACATATAAACAGACTCAACACAGCAACATCCTAGGTGATTCTTTCCAGGAGGTTCTGTGACCAGGTCTGAAGAAGCACAGTTGCAGGTGAAAGAGCCAAACAGATAATTAGTCTCAGCTTCATTTTAGGAATATTCCCATTGAGAACAAAAGAACAGAGATTTTATATGAAAACTCACCAACCACCTTTAATGAGGACAAATTTTATTTAGTTATATGTAAATGAAAGTCACGTGGGCATGTAAGGGGAAAACTATAAAGCACATGAAATAAATATACAATTAACCCTTCATAGTGTCTTCAAAGAACTGTGTAGAGTAACATCAGTAGGAGAGATTTGCTGTAATTCTTGATTAATATTCTGATATCAACATGAATATTGCAAGCAGGTCTTTCTCCAGTTTTGTAACATGGGAACATCTGCTGCTTTGGTAGGAGTCACCACTTCCATGAATACAGTCAGTTAACCAATGAGTGTGCAAACCGAATGTGAGCAGGTCTAACTTGGAGTAATTACAGCTGGGTCACTGGATTAAAAAGGTCACAACTTCGAGTGCACCACTCGAAGTGTGAACATCTGGACGTGTGGGCTATAGCACCATTCAGAAGATTTAACACTGCCTCTTGTTAGTTTGGTGTTGTCAGAAAAATGTAAGTAATGTGGTTTTAAACACACAGCATGTTTTTCAATCTAGTTATCCTAATTTTAGGGTAAATACACATGTACATATATAGCATTGCCTCAGCTTTTATGATTACCAGATCAAAACAGAGAGGGTGGGCTTCTGTAATAGCAGCCAAAGCTGTAATAACAAATGGGTGGTGGTGCTAAGCCAAAGGAGGATGGCGTGCAAATTGTTATCTATGGTAATTCCCATGCCATTCTCAGATCACTAGAGGGGATATCAAGTGTGTCGGTCAGCCATGCTTTTGCTTCTCCTATTAGCTGCCTTTTGTTATCCCTGTTATTTTGGTGGTTCTTTCAGTACATAAGCCTCCTGCTAGACACTGTAGTAGGAAATAATGGAGATGAAACCAAAGGAAACTTGTCCATTTAATCACTTAACAGCTTGGAGGGTTGGTAGAGCACAACACAACTGCTGGCTAATTAGGCATGGGGTAGCATTCGGTGATTCCAAACTGTAGTAGCATTCCTGTTTCTAATCACCAAGGATAATTGAAAATCGGATGTATTCATTTTAGAAAAATATGACCCAAGACACTGCCAATGATATTAAAGGACTGATTTTGTGTGATGAGAAAATTGCGAGTAGAAATTTATTTATTTATGTTCTGCAGTGCTGGGGATCAAACCCAAGGCCTTGTACTTACTAGGCAAGCGCTCTGCCCATGAGGTACACCCCAGCCACAGAAGTAGAAATTTCCGTAGTTTTAAGGTATGTGTAAACAAGTAAGGCAGCCAGAAATTTCAAAATGATTCTCGGAAGAAACATTCTGCAGTCTGAAAAATGTTTGGCTTAGAAAAATAGACATCTCAGATAAAGGAGGGCATTATTCATACACAGTCATCTTGTGTATGAAATCAATGAAGAGAACTATTTTTAAAACTGTGCCCAGCTCAGGCAAGTGAATGATCTACAGATCAGTGAGAGGCACCGGGGACGGCCACTTGTCACCACCACTCCAGCGTCAGGTGCACAATCATCCAAGGGCGTTCTATTCATCTCCCTCACAACTTGACAGGCTGGTGTTTTGGATTCAGCAGCATGCTTTACAAGTGATTAAATCACCGATTTTATATGTTAATCAGCAATTAGTTCTCTATTCTATTTGTTGGGCAGGAGAAACTCAGAAAAAAAGTGTTCAAGGCCACAGGTCATGCTCATAATCTGACAGCCCAGTGATATGAATAAAAGTGCCTGAATCATAGCCCTTGATTCAATGGTTGTGTGCACAAATGCAGCTTCTGCTAAGGAAATCATTCACCATATCTGCTTGTTGAGGTTCGGCCTTATTCAGCTCATCACCGAACCGTCTTTTAATACTGAATAACTGAATTAGAATTGATGGCCAATGCTGCCTCTTATGGGAAGATTTATAAATCGTACTTCCTCGCTGTAGAATTCATTCTTAAAAATATAAACCGTGTTTCTTTAATTGTACTAAACTGTATTGGAGCCTGTCTTTGTATTCTACTGGTAGATCAATAACTCCCTATAATTAATTTCTGAATCCAGTCGTATTCTTGGGCTCGAGACTCACCTATCCACACACTTTCTGGAGACATACAGATGCTTCAGTTACACCTTGCAAAGAAATAGATGAGTTGAAAAGCTCTTATTCCCTGTCTTCGCATCTAAAATCCTAGTCCCAATGAATGAGAAGAGAGAGTAGTTTTTATGAGGGCATTTGTACCTATTATTCAATAAGCTGTAAACACCATCTTCTTTAAACATATGTAGTCCTTAATACCCTCCAGCAATGCCTGGAAGCAGAGGCAGTGCTACTCGAAAAAAGTAATGACAATGGCATTTACAAAGCTCTTCCCCAGGTCACAGGCTCCTCACAGCAACCAAGCGAGGTAGGCATGAGTACCACAAATGAAATCCGACCTGAAATCACGTGACACTAAGCATGTGCACCATCTATGTATTTTCTTCTGGATTGTTCTATAATTTGAATACATGGTTGGATGAGTAAGAAGAGTATTCCTACCATGTAAAGCAAACCACATATATAGAAGGAAAAATCATATTTTTGTGTGATGTCGAAGATCCACCCTACAAAACAAAAAAAGATCATATTCAGTATAACACAGTTGATAGAATAAAAACTCAAGAACATAAAACAGGCATTTATTTATTGCCACTGCAATAAATATAGGGATTGATTAATTGCTATTATTATTAATTATCATCATCATCGTAATTATTTTTGGAGCTGGGGCTCGCACGTGCTAGGTAAGCGCTCCACTGCTAGGCTACCCACCCTCAGCCCTCATTTAGCCATTTTTAAGAGCTCGCTATACAAGTCAGTCTTTCCAGTGCCTGCGGATGGCTGTGCTTATTGGTTGAATCACTTGGGGACTTGTGGCTGCTGGCCCCTGAGGACACCCCCCTGGCTCGCTGCCCTCAGGTGAACCTGCAGCCTGGCCAAAGCCCACAGTTAAAAATGAATCTAGAAACATTTTGATCCAAGATGGCGAGCTAGAGGGAGGCTGCATACGGTGTCACTCCATGACCTGGGATTCAAGTAGTGGGACTACTGTTTCTCTGCGAGTGATCAGAGGACCCCCGACAGCTGCTCCCACGCAGGGCATCTATCTACCAAAGTGAGGCTCCCCCAGTTGCCTCCATCTTGGGACAACTCTGCAGCCACTGCCATATCACCTACACATGGTAGCCTGCCTGCACCTGGGACATCACACAGGGTCTGGAGACAGCCCTCAGCCATAACACTGCACACCACAGAGCCGCATCTCTGAACACATCGCCCAGCGCTGCCTCCCAGCCCCGCCTGACCCAACACCCCATTGCTGCAAGCAGCCACCTCCACCCTGGGTCACCTTCGTTGCCATCTTTAGTTGGGGCAACTCCCAGTTTGGTACACCAGCTGGGCAGATACCGAGAGACCCCAACTGCCCTCTCTCCCCGGCAGCTGCTACCCGGCACAGTGACTGCCCAGTACAAAACAGCTCTCCGCGCCAGGTGCACAGCCCCCAGAGCGCAGCCCCCAAGACCTCGGGAGAGAAGGTTCCTGACTGGGAAGTCAAAAGGGAGCGGGTGGGTGAGATACAGTTTAGAAACTAAATTAGAGACCAGGAATTGTAAGGTCTACAGGGATATAAGGAGATAAGACCAGGCACCCACATTTCACGAGTGGGCCCCAAAGGAGATGCTTGGGGTGCAGTCTCTCATTGGGGACAGGCAGGTGCTATACCCCACTTCCAGGAGCTCCACACCCAAGACCAACCCTCCACCCTGGTAACCTTCACCAGGCTGAGGGTGCAGATACCAGCAAACAGCAGACAACCCCCGCTATTGGATGAGAAGGGAAGCAGGAAAGATACTGGCCTCCAACAGGAACGATCCTTGTATCTTCCTTTGAGGTTTTTTCCTTCTCCCACTCTATTCTCCCACCCTCACATCCCCAACATTTGTGAAACTAAATACTTTGCATGAATTAGGGCACCGAGGACTGGGACGTCCGAATAGTATATTACAGTTGTGTTGTACATTCTTTCATCTCCTATTTTTACATTTTAAAATTTTTCTTAATATTTACGTGTGTTTGTTTTATATACTCCATTGCCTTCCCACTTTCTTGTCTCCCCAAAATCGCTTCCTCTCTCTTTTCCTGCTACTAACCAACTTCTTTAGATCCCTCTTTCACAGGTTCCTAAGATCTAATGACTCTATATCCTCACCTCCTACCCACGCAACATCTCATCCTACACTTCACCCTGGTTCTTTGTCCACCATCAGAAACTGTAGACCATTTTGCAAACCTACTATTTATGTTGTAGATAATAATTGAACCATTTCTGTATATTGTGCCAAAACTGTAAATGTCTTAATAGCAGCTATTTGGATTAAGGGTGTATATTATTTGTACTGAGATCTGTTTACATTGTTCTCCCCCTCAAAGGAGAGATATTGGAACTCTGCAGGGGTACTGTAAGCCTATAGGGTAAAAAAACGGTGACACCTCAGCTCCACAGTGCTAGAAGGAAAGACACGAACCACATGAAAAAACAAGGGAAGAAAGTGCCCCAAACAAATCAAGATACTGCATTATTAGAATCCATGGCCAGCACAACAGAAGAAATGACAGAGAAGGAGGTCAGGATATACATAATTAAAATGTTCTGTGAATTAAAGGATGATATAAGAGAGCAAATACAGGCAGCAAAAGATTATTTCGATAAAGAGCTACATAAGCAAATGCAGGAAGCAAAACATTACTTTAATAAGGAGATAGAGGTTCTGAAAAAAAAGAAATCCTTGAAATGAAAGAAACAATAAATCAAATTAAAAGCTCAATACAAATCATCACCAACAGATTAGATCACTTGGAAGACAGGACCAGACAATAAAGACAAAATATATCATCTTGAAAAGAATGTTGACCACACGGTGAAGATGGTAAAAAACCATGAGCAGAACATTCATTAATAATGGAAAGCCTAAAAAGACCAAATTTAAGAATTATTGGGATAGAGGAAGGCATAGATTTCCAAACCAAAGAAATGAACAGTGAAATAATAGCAGAAAAATTTCCAAATATGAAGAATGAATCAGAGAATCAAATACAAGAGGCTTATATAAGGACACCAAAAGTACAAAATCACAATAGATCCACACACCAAGGCCAATTATAGTGAAAATGCCTAGCATACGTTTCAATAAAATTGAAACAAAAGAAATGATTGAAAAAATTGAGAAAACAAAAAGTTATTTTTTTGAAGAAATAAATGAGATTGATAAATGCTTAGTCATGTTAATGAAGAGAAGGAGAGAGAAAACTCAAATTACTAATATGCGTGATAAAAAAGGAAATATCACAATGTACACTATAGAAATACAGAAGATAATTAGAAATTATTTTGAAAATTTGTACTCCAATAAAATAAAAAAATATTGAAGGCACTGACAAATTTCTAGAGTCATGTGATTTGCCCAAACTGAATTAGGATGATATACACAATTTAAACAGATCAATTTCAAGCAGTGAAATAGAAGACACCATCGGTAGCCTACCAACCAAGAAAAGCCCAGGACTGGATAGATACACAGCTGAGTTCCACAAGACCTTTAAAGAAGAACTAATACCAATGCTCCTCAAATTATTTTGTGAAATGGAAAAAGAGGGAACACTTCCAAACTCATTATATGAGGCCAATATCACCCTGATTCCAAAACCAGACAAAGATACATCAAAGAAAGAAAACTTCAGACCAATATTTCTAATGAACATAGATGCAAAAATTCTCAATAAAATTCTGGCAAATCGAATCCAAAAACATGTTAAAAAAATAGTGCACCATGATCAAGTGGGGTTCATCCCAGGGATAAAAGGTTGGTTCAATGTACAGAAATCAATAAATGTAATTCATCACATCAATAGACTTAAACATAAGACTCATATGATCATCTTAATAGATGCAAAAAAAAAAGCATTTGACAAAATACAGCACACCTTCACGTTCAAAACACTAGGAAAACTAGGGATATCAGGAACATATCTCAACATCATAAAGGCTATCTATGCTAAGCTCCAGGCCAACATCATTCTAAATGGAGATAAATTGAAAACATTCCCTCTAAAAACTAGACAGGGATATCCTCTTTCACCACTTCTATTTAACATAGTTCTTGAAACTCTAGCTGGAGCAATCAGACAGATGAAAGAAATTAAAGGGATATGGATAGGAAAAGAAGAAATCAAATTAGCACTATTTGCTGACAATATGATCTTATACCTAGAAGACCCAAAAAATTCCACCAGGAAACTTCTAGAACTAATAAATGAATTCAGCAAGGTAGCATGTTATAAAATCAACACCCCAAAATCAAAGTCATTTCTGTACATCAATAACAAATCCTCTGAAAGAGAAACTAGGAAAACTGCTCCATTTACAATAGATTCCAAAAACAAACAAACAAACAAAAAAAAACTTGGAAATCAACAAAAGAGGTGAAAGACCTCTACAATGAAAACTACAGAATGCTAAAGAAAGAAAATAAAAAAAGACCTTAGAAGGTAGAAAGATCTCCCTTGTTCTTGGACAAGCAGAATTAATATTGTCAAAATGACCATACTACCAAAAGCACTATACAGATTTAATGCATTTCCAATCAAAATCCCAATGATATTCCTCATAGAATAGGAAAAGCAGTCATGAAACTCATCTGGAAAAATAAGAGACCCAGAGTAGCTAAAGCAATCCTTGGCAAGAAGAGTGAAGCAGGAGGCATCACTATACCAGGCCTTAAACTATACTACAGAGCAATAGTAACAAAAACAGCAGGGTATTGGCACCAAAATAGACTTGTAGACCAATGGTACAGAATAGAGGACACAGAGACTAACCCACATAATTACAGTTATATTATACAAAGGCACTAAAAACATATATTGGAGAAAAGATAGCCTCTTTAACAAATGGTGCTGGGAAAACTGGAAATCCATATGCAACAAAATGAAACTAAAACTCTATCTCTCACCATGCACAAAATTCAACTCCAAGTGGATCAAGGACCTAGGAATTAAACCAGACACCCTGTACCTAATAGAAGAAAAAGTAGGTCCAAATTTCCATCATATGTCAGAACAGGTTCCGACTTTCTTAGTAAGACTCCTATAGTGCAAGAATTAAAATCAAGAATTAATAAATGGGATGGATTCAAATGAAATGCTTCTTCTCAGCAAAAGAAACAATCAGGTAAATCTACAGAATGGAAGCAAATTTTCACCACACGCACATCATTTAGAGCACTAATCTCTAGGATATATAAAGCACTCAGAAATCTTAACACCAGAAAAAAAAAATCAATAAATGAGCCAAGAAACTGAACAGACACTTCTCAGAAGATGTTATATAATCAATCAACAAATATATGAAAAAATGTTTAACATCTAGCAATTAAAGAAATGCAAATCCAAACTATTCTAAGATTTCATTTCACTCCAGTCAGAATGGCAGCTATTAAGAATACAAAGAACAATAAGTGGTAGTGAGGATATGGGTAAAAAGTCACTCTCATACACTGCTGGTGGG